TTTTTGGGGCCCTAAAGGGAGCTGTCGATGGAGGCTTGTCTATCCCTCACAGGTAATAATAGTATTCAAGACCACATTTCCTGGACTCCAGAACTGGACTGTTTCTAACTAGCTGGGCTTTGGAGAAAACTGAACCAGTGAAAGTAATAGTATCATTGTGTACTTGCCATGTGCTGGGTACTGTGTGAAAGGAACTTGGCAGGGTGGGAAGGAATTGTAACATGGTTTATAAATGAAGAGACTGGGTTTCAGAGGTAAAATGAATTGTCCAAGGTTTTAGAGCCAGTAAGTGGAGAAGCCAGTGTTGAAATCACTACCTTTTGTGTGTGGCTAAGTTTTGGTTGAAGTAAAGGGAAAGTTGCTCAGGCGTGTCTGACTATAATGTAGGGGGTTTTGGGGGAGGGGGTTGTGTCTTGCCAGTTCTCTTGCAAGGCACCTGTTAAATGTAATCTGGAACAAATCACTTACTGTGTGCCCTGAGGCACCACTAAGTAATTGTAGGTTTTCAGGAAAGTAATTTTGAAACGTGTGTATGAAATATGGAGAACTAACTTTATAGTGGCCTTGGTTCATTTAATGGTTTTTAAAGGTGCTTGTGGCATGATTTTCTGTCCAGGAATTCAGAAATTAGCTGCTGAATGATGATATCCCACTAACTGAGCAGTCAGTAGTTGGTCCTTTGGTTGCATATGATGCAATTAATTGTTTCAAGACGGGACTGATGGCAGCTACTAAAATGAATTCCTGCTAGTAAACTTATTTCAATCAGTATTACTAAAATATGGAAAACTTTATTTCAGTACCAAACGGTTCCCTGGTTATGATTCAGAAAGCAAAGAATTCAGTGCTGAGGTACACCGAAAGCACATCATGGGTCAGAATGTTGCAGATTACATGCGTTACCTGATTGAAGAAGATGAAGATGCTTACAAGAAACAATTCTCTCAGTACATAAAGAACAACGTAACTCCAGACATGGTAAAAAACTTTTAAATGCCTGTATTGGTTAATTTATAGAACCAGGTTTTCTATCTATTTTGGGTAGGTACGTTAATACAGTTTTATTTCAGGTTAACAGTTAAAATTGAATAAGGGCATGTTCGTAGGTGTAGACAGACCTTAAAAAGCTGTTTTTGGCTTAAAATGAAGTTGGGATATTGGGCCCAGGGCAAGTTAAAAAGTCAGAAAAAATATTAGGAGCTAGGCTTGTCAACATGCTTTTAGGAATCTTTTAGATGCTTAAGGATGGCAAGCTTCAAGCATCCAAATCTAAAGCATTTGGTGGCTCTTAGGCATTTGGCTGTTCTATATAGTTAAATTCATTCGTGTGGTCATAGTTATAATCTACTCTGATATGAGGTGCTATTTACTAAACTTCCCTTTTTGAGATAATAGGGGAAAGGGTTCATTCTTCATCATAGCCGATAAGTGCCATGTTGATTGTCTCAGTGTCTCAGGCATGCACATAAAAGGAGAGGGATGGGTCTATCACTAGTTGTGTGTGATGTTGCAGAACTGAAAGGGCCCATGTTTTCAAAAGTTAGTTTAATGTTGTAAAGTTTATCACCCCTCAAGTTGAGTCTAAGGGCTATCTTTATAACACATTGAAGTAATTGAAGATGATAGTGCTAGTTTTGATAATGAGGGCATAGAACACCAAAATCACAGATTATTGTAAAACCTACAAATATAGAATTGTATGTAAATTGATAGATTATATGTTAAGTAATTGTTGTTATTAGGTTCTTTCTGTTGGTGCATAGTTTGTATTTTGGTATACCTATGTCTAAAAATTATATTTAAAATAGAATTATAATTGGGGGGAAGATCACTTACTGTCATTTGTATGCTTAGTACACAGTCTTAAGACTGAATAAACACTATAGTTCTGAGTTTTTGAGCTAGGAAATGGGTAGTTTTATATTAGTAATGTAGATGCATGTTAATTTTCACATGAATATATTTCTTTATGTTACTATTGACATCACCCTAGTATTAAAAATACCTTTTAGTTTTGACTGATTCTGCTTTGCCTGTAAAACTTCTTCCTAAGCCATAACGTGTGTTTTCAGATGTCTACTTCCTAATGCTTTCTTTTTTTTTTTTATTGCAAAATGTTTATTGGTAATAACTTTATATAATTTATTCCCTATATTTGATGTTACAAACTTTAGGGTCTTTGAGATAGGCAGGATCCTTGTATGTAACTGGCATAAACCCCAATATTTGAGCTCTCTTAATTGCTTTTGTGATTTCTTTTTGTTTCTTCCCACAAAGACCTGTTATGTGCCTTCCATAAATGCATCCAGTAAATGGAGAAATAAACTAGGATAAAAGCTGTACATTCTTAAAATCTACACGCTTTTCACACAAGATACATTTTTTCAGAGGCTCCTTATAAGGATTTTCCATTGGAATAGGCAGGTCCTCATTGCTGGTTACCTGTTTATATTGTGAACAACTTCTCCACAGCACTGCACGAGTCCCGGGATTTGTGAGGCAGACAAAAGCCGCTGGGAAACGTGTAAACTTTCTCTTCCCTAGCGCACTGCAGACTGCTACCAGAGCAGCCATGGTTCCTTGCCTAATGCTTTCTTAATGCATGTTATACTTCAGCCAGACCATTCTTTGGCTAATCCTTTTACAGTTAGCTCATTCATTTTATCTGTAGAGGCTTCTTTGCTTATGTGTGCCTCCTGAAATCTGCAGACATCTGGTGTCTCCAACAGAAAGTGGTCTTTTTATAAACTAAATTCATGGTGTTATCTACATACATGGTTGTATTTCCTCTGGAATTGATCTTGTGGAAGAAATGAACTGGGTTGGTTAGATTTGTTAAATGGCTGCATTTGAAATCATTAAATTTGTTAAATACAGTAGAGAGCTGTAATAGCTAAGAGAAGTAGAGAAATTAACTTTCAAAAAGGATTTAGGTATTTGAGGTCTCAAGTGCCGTTTCAAGTTTTTGCATTATTTTCCTTGGCTAATGAGTTTTATACAAATGCATGTAGTAATTGCATGTTATCCATGTTGAATAAGAAGTTGTAGAGATATGGATTAACTTGACTCATTCTTAAGGAAGAAGGTAATTGTTACTGAGTTTCAGGCATTTTAGTTTCTTCATGACTTGATCTTCCTTGTGATTGGTAGTCATTTGCATGGGTTAGGGAGTATGGAAATAATTCAGAGAGTTGCAACATTGTTTTTTGTTAAATTTTAGAACAAAATTCTCAGTAATGTTTCTAATAGCCTTTCAGGATTTTCTAGGGAAATTGAGACCTCTTTCTGATTCCACTAAGACCTGATACTGCCAGATATGGTAATTTGTGGTGATAGATCAGGGGGTCCCTGGTATGGGATCCTGGGAATAACTTTTGTAAAGACCTATCAGAAATCAGTGGAAAATAGAAATAATGGGGAATGTGGGAGAACAGAGATGTATTTGGCATTTGTTTGTTGGCCCACATATTCTTCATTGTAACCTCTTAAATGCTGGCATGTACTGCACTTGAATGAAAGAATTTAGGTCAGATGGTTTTAAGTGAGCATAGTATGTGTTTCTACAGGAACAATTTATTCTGAACTTGACTCAAGAAGTATAGCTGAACAGCTCAGAAATTTTTGTTTGTTTTTTTTTTTTTAGGAAGATTAAGTTATGGTTTGTGAATAGTGTCAGTTCATATTGCCTGTGGTAAAAACTGGGACTTAGGAAAATGTGGTTTTCATACAGATACCAACATGGACTTAGTTTAACTCCTTTTGAGAATCTGTCTTGGACAGAATAGAGCAAGCAGTAGAATAGTGTGTCATATTATTGTTTAGGGCATATGAAATGAAACCAAGTACTGTTTGCTTTGCTTTGTTTCAGATGGAGGAGATGTATAAGAAAGCTCATGCTGCAATACGAGAGAATCCAGTGTATGAGAAGAAGCCTAAGAAAGAAGTTAAAAAGAAGAGGTGTGTATCTCTTTTTTGGGGGGGGAGAAAGGTTGGGAGGGGTTCTTGCCTTGTTGCATCTCTCTCGGTCTCTGAAGTTGTGCAAACTCGATCACTGGCTCTGCATGATGTTGCAGAGGTGAGGGGAACCAGGTTTGCTAAAGTAATTGTGGTGATAGAAATGTATTAGCCTCGGATGCTACCGAGGTGGCTCATTCTATCCCAGTACATTGTAACCACTGCCCACCCCACCCCCCCTTTTTTTTTTGGCTATGTTGCATGGCACATGGAATTTTGATTCCCTGACCAGGGATTGAACCCATGCCCCCTGCATTGGGAGCTTGGAGTCTTAACCACTGGACCACCAGAGAAGTCCCATTTCCTGCATCTCTTAATAAGCTAACTAGAGAAGAGAATTACTTTCTGCTAGTCTTTCACATTTTGATCTTTGGAGTAGAAAGTAATAATGAGTCTAAGCATTATACTTAAATCTTTACTTGATTTTTGGCCCTGTGATGTAATAGGACAATATCACGGAAATTGGAATTTGGGAAAGTTAGACTAAGACCATAAATGAGTACATGTGTTGAGAATTGGATTATTTGACTTTTAAAGTCTGTCTTTTTCAAAGTTAAATATTCTCTATGCTCTTTAGCTATGAAAATTACATCCCTTTCTTTTCTTTTTGTTTCCTAGGTGGAACCGTCCCAAAATGTCACTTGCCCAGAAGAAAGATCGGGTAGCTCAGAAGAAGGCAAGCTTCCTTAGAGCTCAGGAACGAGCTGCCGAGAGCTAAACCAAACCACAATTTTCTATCAAGATTTTTCAGATAAGACAATAATAAACTTATTGAACAAGCAGCTGTTTGTGTTAAGCTCTTGTTAATGAAACTTTGGAAAGCACCTGACATAGCCAGTATTTTCCTTCCAGAAACAAGCATAGCTTTTCCCAGGGCTTACATATTGCCTGAAGGTTCATATCTGCTTCTTGGGCATCAGTTCCTCCTGACAGGAGTTAATTCAAGTCTGGCAAGCAACAGACAAACCTTCCACTAGAAGTATTTCTTCAATTCATTTATTGTAACCACATGATAAGTGGGAAGAAAAAGTACCTTCAAAGTTTACAATTTTAAAGTAAGAAAAACTGATGCTAATTCATGGCTTTAATTTTTCAGAGGAAGCTGTCCCATGAAGGTCATATAATTTTAACATTCATTTTAACCAGGTGAAAGCTATGAGCAGAAAATATTGGGTCTTTCTCACAAGAGATGTTTCTTTTTATAAAGTTGAAAGGCACATGCCTTTCAGATCTGAATAAACAAAAGAGCACATATCAACCCTTGTATGTCAAATTTATATGACAGTGTTAGATGGGTAAATTTACATGCCTCTTAAGAAACAGCTCTTTGGCCAGCAGGGAATAATGTTTGAAAACAGTTATTAGTAGGAAGTTCTATGATTTCGGGAGTCCCACTCTGAATAGCTCAGATTCAAGATATGTGGAACTGTTGGGTCTGTGGCCTAAAGATGTGCCTTTTGAAGGACCAGTGGCTGGTACAGATGCTTTAAATCTAGGATGATGAAAGCTCATCCATATTCAGCCTCTGAAATTGGCAGTTACATATTGCCAGAAAGAATCTTCCTGATGGGTTTCAAGTGGGTAAGGGCCACTCAACATTCTGAAGCCACGTAAAATTTGATATGTAAATGGATTAAGTGTATAATACAAGAAACCATGCTAGTAACCCAACACCTGTTTATAAAGGAGTAATTTTAATTTACCTGCTTTGCAGTCTTAATTCCTGTTAATGTGCAAACTTTACCATGCTAAGACATTAGTAAATTTATAAATTTTCTTTTTTAAATAGCAGCTTCAATGCAGACACAACTTCCAGCACTGATATTTGGCTAACAAATCTACAAAATACTCTTCACTGTTGATGTTTATGGAATGAGGCTTTTCACAGTATTATATTTTAAGTCATTAGTCAAAATAGTTACACAGTGGATGTACTAGGAAGTGTACCAAGAGTTTCTAAAAGGACAGGAATAAAATTTTTTGGACCTTTTGATCCTGTAACTCCTGCCTTCAGCAGTCAACATGTATTTTAAGATGATGGCTTCCTTAGGACCAGGGGAAAGGAGTTTTGTTAACACAAGGGTCTGAATCAAGCCATGTAGAAAAAATGATGAATAGTTTTCTTTTGAAGTGCTAAGTTTCTTAAAATGGTCACAATGTCCAAAATGAACTAAGAGTCATTTGTGTAGGAAATTTTCTTCCACAGTAATGTTTTTAGGTTATTCAGTATCAAAGAATGTTCCATTTCCATTTGATTTGCTGTGACTTTGAGAGCAATACAAGAATACAGCTGCTTTTCTAATTCCTCACGGATTTCACTTGGAGCACCACGCAGTAGGTAGTCTTTGAGTAACTGACAGGCTTTTGCCAAGTTTGGTTGTATCACTTCTGAAGTACACTTCATTGTACTCTGATCACAGCTAGTTCGACAATCCGTGCCATAGACACAGTCCAGATCAGACTCACAGTGACGATCCTTTATAAGTTCTTTCAGGTTTGTCTCTGGCACAATTTTTCTCATGTCCACCATTTTCAAGTCATATTTATCATTATATCCTAGGTTTTTGGCACTAGTATCACACATGAGGAAGTTTCCATATGGGCCATGGAAAACATCTTCCACAAATTCTAAAAGTCCTATGGCTATTTTAGCCTTTCTAGGCCATGATGGTGTGAACAACTGATCCATGCTTCTTCTGAACCCAGATGGTATAAAAAGTTCAATGACCCAGGGAAGGCTTATTCCATAAAGAGAGGTATATTCAACGCTTTCCATCACATAGAGATCACCACAGAATCCCATTAATTTGGGGGTGTGTTCTTTATCTTGAAGTATCACCATAAGAAGAAATTCATTTAATTGAAGAAGTGCCCATGCTGACTTTGCTTCCCCCAAGGAAACCTGGCCATCTTTGTCTCCGTCAGCTACTGTCAAGATGAGGTTAACCAGTTCAGAGAGGTTCCCTTGGTCACCCAACTTTGCCTGTAAAGATAAGAACTTGGCTAATTACACAGAAGGTATGAAAAATGAGTATCCCATGTGTAACATACATACTAACTTCCTTTACGGGGATGATTACCCTGCTAAGTAATAACCTTGCTACTGAATACCCATAGGAGATTTAATACATTCCCAGATATTTATATTTGTCAAGTCAAAACTATGCTTTAGGTACTTGCAGTAAAACCCACTTTGCTAAGTATATTTGTCTGTTAAAAAATGACCACCGTAACTCCCATAATCTTAAACCCTGTAGATAGTTAACCAAGCCATTAATTTAATTAGTCTTGGCCTTGTTCATACTTGCAAAATTGGAGTGTAAGTTGCCCATATCCAAAGTTATAAAGGTCAACTACAAATTACTATCTCTTATTTTGTAATTGTTTTACATTTCATTCAAGTATATTGTTCCAATAGTAAAGGTTAAAAAGTATTTCCTTGTGAATGTTCCCTGGCACAAAACAGTCTAAAAGTATAAACTGTCCAAAGAAAAAGATTTTGAGTGATAATATGAGCGCAATGGAAATGAGAAAATATTCTTTCCAGAAGTGTTATTTTCATCTTTTAATATTTCTATTCTTTAAAAAAAAAATCAGGGTCTACTAATTTTATTTCACCTTTTAAAAACCAGTGTACCAGTTATAATGTCAAGCTATAGAGCAGCCCATCTATTTAATGAACTCTCACATTTGGACATTTTTAGCTATAATAAGTAATGCTAAAGTAAACACCCTCCTTTTTTTTTTTTTTTCTTTTCTTTGAATTATTTCCTCAAGATAGAGTCCTTGATATAGGTCAAAGAATAGCAACATTTTTATGGCTTATGATGAGATCCTGCCAGCTTCTAGAAGAGAACCACATCATACCAGCAACATATGAATGCATATACTTACTTTAAAGAGACTGTAGACCATTTCTTTGAATTTCTGGACAGTAGTTCCCCTAGTTGGCTTATCAAATAGCACTATTTCTTTTCTTGGTTCCAATTCTGTACCAAAATCAAGATGAAGTGCTTGTTCCATCTGACACTTCACAACACCTGGTAGATTATCCCAAATCCCTAAATATATCTGTAAAAAGAATGACAAATTATGGTTTAGGCAGATTAGAAAACTTCATCTAATCTACATGATATTTTTAGTGTCCTCCTCCTCTTAAAAAAGGGGCTTTCCTGGTGGCTCAGCAGTAAAGAATTCACCTGCAATGCAGGAGACTGCCTTCAATGCAGGAGACACGGGTTTGATCCCTGAGACAGGAAGATCCCCTGAAGAAAGAAATGCAATCCACTCCAGTATTCTTGCCAGGATAATCCCATGGACAGAGGAGCCTGGTGGGCCACAGTCCAAGGGGCCACAAGATTTGGACACAACTTAGGGACTAAACCACCAACACCTCTAAAAAACCACAAACGAGCAACAAAACATCAACACTGAGCTGACTTTCTTTCTGAATTGCAAATATGAAATCATACTTCAAAGCTTTTTTCCCAGTTAAAAAATATTGCATACCTAAATATATATGTATATTTTTACCATGATCAATTTTATTGTTTTCCAGGGTTTTTTTTTTCCAGTTTTTAAATCATGCTAAAATATAAAAAATAGAACATTTACCATCTAAACCATGTTTAACATACAGTTCCGTGGTATTAGATTCATGAACTTGTACTATAATCACCATCATCTGTCTCCAGAACTCTTCATTTTCTAAAATTGAAACTATCCATTAAACAATAACTCCCTGTTTGCCCCCTTCCTCAGCCCTGCCATCCACCAGTCTACTGTCTGTCTCTGATTCAGACTACTCACTCTTAGTATCTTACCTAAGTGTCCTTTTCTAACACGCTTATAATGTCCTCAAGGTTTACCAAATTGTAGCAAGTGTCAGAACTTCCATCTTTTTTAATGCTGAATAATACTATAATATTTTGCGTTTCCATTCATACATCAATGGACATGGGTTGCTTCCATGTTTTAGCTACTGTGAATAATTATGACTATGGATCTACAAATATATCTTTGAGATCCTGATTTTAATTCTTTTACATATATACCCAGAAGTGGAATTGCAGAATCATAAGGTCATGTTACTTCTAATGTTTTCAGGAACTGCCAACCTGTTTTCTTCAGTGGCTATACTATTTTAAATTCCCACCAATAGTGGATTCTAGTTTTTTTACATTATTGCCAACACCTGTTTTTTTTTGTTTTTTTTTTAACAGTAGCCATTCTGATGGGTGTGAGGTGGTATCTTTTTCTTTTTGGCCATTGCACGTGGCATGTGGGATCTCAGTTCCCCAGCCAGGGACTGATGAGAGGCCCCAGCAGTGACAGCACCGTGTCCTAACCACTGGGTGGCCAGGGAATTTCCCTCAGTGTGGTTTTGATTTGCATTTCCCTAATAATCAGTGGTGTTGAGCATCTTTTCATGTACTCATTAGATATATGTATATCTTTTTTTTTGAGAAATGCCTATTCAAATTCTTTGACCATTTTTTTTTTTTTTTTTTAAATTTTGGCTGCTCTGGGTCTTCCTAGGAGTGCGTGGGTGGGCTTTCTCCAATTCTGGCACACGGCTCTCTCGATGTGGTGCATGGGCTTATTTGCTCCGAGACCTGTGGGATCTTAGTTCCCTGAACAGGGATCGAAGCCACATCCCCTGCATGAAGGAGGATTCTTAACCACTGGACCAGGGAAGTCCAGCTGGGTTTAATACAGCTGGGTTTTTTTAGGTGGTGTTGTGGAGTTTTAGGAGCCCTCTATATATTCCGGATATTAATTCCCTATCAGATATGTGATTTGCAGATACTTTCTCCCATTCTGTTTCTTTTTTACTCTACTGATAAAGACCTTTGATGCACAAAGTTTAAAAATTCTTATGAAGTACAATTTGTCTATTTTTTCTTTTGTTGACTGTGGAAGAAATCATTGCCAAACCCAATGTCACAAAGCTTTTACCTAATATTTCATCTAAGAGGTTCATAGTTTTAATTCTTACCTTTAGATCTTTGATCTATTTTGACTTGAATTTTGCCTATGGTGTTAGGTAAGGGTCCAACTTCATTCTTTTGCATGTGTATATCCAGATTTCCCAGTACTATTTGTTAAAAAAAGAGCTCTTTCCCTACTGAATGGTCTTAGCACCCTTGTCAAAAATTATATGACTGTATATGTGAGGGTTTATTCTTGGGCTATTACATTCCTTTAGTCTATATATCTGTCCTCATTGTTACTGCATAGAAATGCAACAGATTTTTGTGGGTTGACTTTGAATTCATTTATTAGCTCTAATAATCTTGTGGAATTTTTAGGTTTTTCTACAAATAAGATCATATCATCTATCAAGAGATAATTTTACTTTTTCCTTTCAAATTTATATGTCTTTTATCTCTAATTGATCTTGCCAAAATTTCCAGTACTATATTGAACAAAATTGGTGAAACTAGGCATCCTTGCCTTCTTCTTGATCTTAGGGGAAAAGTTTTCAGTCTTTCACCACCGAGCAAGATGTTAGCTGTAGGTTTTTCACACAAGGGTTTTTACTATGTTGAAGTAGTTGCCTTTTATTCCTAGTTTGTTGAGTGTTTTTATTGTGAGTCTTGTCAAATGCTTTTTCTGCATTAATTGTGGTGTTCCTTTTTCCCCTTTGTTATGTTAATGTCATGTATTACATTGATCAATTTTCATTGCTGAGCCATCAAAAGTTAAGAAGGATTGGTGTTAGTTTTTTTAAATGTTTATTAGAATTCATGAGAGAAACCCAGATGTCCAGGCCCTTTCTTGTTGGGGGACTTGATTACTGATTCGCTCTCCCTGTTAGTCTATGCAGATATTCTATTTCTTAGTAGGTTTTGTGTTTCTAGGAAGAATTTGCCCATTTCATCTAGATTATCTAACTTGTTGCTGTACAACTGTCCATTGTATTCTCATATAATCCTTTTTTTCTATGTAGAACTGATGGTAATGTCTTTGCTTCATTTCTGATTTTCATAATTTGAGTCTTCTTTCATTGTTTCTTAGTTTATCTAACTAAAAGTTTGTAAAATTTGTTGACCTTTTCAAATGATCAACTTTTGTTTTCACTGATTTTATTGTTTTTCTATTTTCTATTTCCTTGATCTCTACTGTAATCTGTATTATTTCCTTCCTTCAGCAAGGTTTAGATTTAGTTTATTCTATAATTCCTTACAATGTAAAGTTCAATTGTTTATTTGAGATCTTATCTCAATGTAAGTATTTATAGCTATAATCTTTTTTAAAGTCAAATTACACAGGAAGATGAAGAGTTCAACATCCATTTCCCTACTTCCCAGAATTAGTCATTATTAACTATCTAGCTATGTAACAATCTAACAATATATGGCGCTTTACATTATGCTACGATCTATTAATTGATTTGATTATCTTACTCCCTATAACAACCCTATGCAGTAGATACCATTATTACCCTGACTTCACTGATAGATAAACTGAAGCAGAGAGAAGTGAAGCAGTATGCTGAAGGGAATACAAGGGTGGCAAACTAGCCTGTGAACCCAGGCAGTCTACTGTTGCTTATACGTAAAAAATAAATATGACCATGCTAATTAGTAATACTATTACTCACTCCTCTGCTTCAAACCCTCTAATTCAATCAGAATAAAGTCCAAAGCCCTTTTCATTGTCTGCTAGGCTTCTTATGAGCTGGCCTGCTTCTCCAACCACCTACTGCCTCAATGTCTATATCCCGTCTATGCAGGTCTTCTCTCTGTTCTTTGAACCTACCACCATCATTCCTGTTTCATGACCTCCTTCACTTGCTACTGGTTTTGCCTGGAATGTACTCTCAATGATCTTCATACAGCTCATTCCTTCACATCATTCAAGTCTCAGTCAAGAGGTCACCTTATACTGACCTTCCCTAATTTCCTACCTACAGTAGATCCCTCTTCCCTCACAGGTTACTCTCTAAGCCATGAGCTCAATGTATTTTCTTCATAGCCCTTATCACTGTCTGAAACGATCTTATTTCTTTGATGTTCTGTTTTATTTATTTCCTGGTTGTGCTGGGTCCTCATGGACGTGCACGGGCTGTCTCTAGTTGCAGTGAGTGGGGGCTACTCTTAGCTGTGGTGTGTGGGCTTTTCATTTTGCTGGCCTCTTGTGTGGCACGGCCCAGGCTCTAGGTGCATAGCTTCAGTAGTTAGAGCATGCGGGCTCAGCAGTGTAGGCTCCAGGGCTCAGCTGTTGTGGCGCGTGGGCTTCGTTGCTCTGTGGCATATGGAATCTTCCTGGACCAGAGATTGAACCCACGTCCCCTGCATGGGCAGGCGGATTCGTATCTACTGTACCACCAGGGAATCCATGAAATGACCTTATTTCTTTATTGACTCTTTATCATCTGTCTTCTTTCACATGAAACATAAGGCATATGAGGCCAGAGGTTTTGTCTGTCTTGTTCCCCATGGTCTCTCCCAATGCCTTAGCAGTACTTAGCAAACAGCAGATACTCAAATATTGGACTTTATTTCGGAAAACTTCTTAAACATGGCTAGTATTATAGACTTAAAATCTACTTTAAATTTCTATAAAAGGAATGAGTATGTTTCATCAACTCACCCTGTGTATATCCTATATAAAACATACCACATTCTGTAATTACTTTACTTATTTACTTATCTATCAACTGTTTATGTTCCTTATCCCTCTGGGATAACGTGAGACCCATAGGGAAATAATCTTATCTATCTTAATCACCCCTGTTTTCCTAACAACTAAAATAAGTGTATGGAATATGCTGGGACTAGGGGATTAATAAATACTTGTTAGATGAGTGAGTCAACGCCTATACAATTGAATTAATTAAAATATCCTAAAGTTCCAGTTCAACAGTTCTTTTAATAAGTAGTTTAAGGTAAAATCAGATAGCACCATAAATCTGGAATGTTAATTCATAATGTCCATACCTGATTGCTGGGCTTGGTGGATAAGCATTTTCCAAAGTAAAGAGTTTCTGTAACACAAAGGCTATTACATGCAGGCCCATCAATAACTCCGGTCTTGTATTTGTCACACTAAAAACCAGGAAATAAAAAAGTAGTTAATAGAAAAATGTTCACAAGAAGAAACATATTAAAATATTTGCAAATGAAGTAATCAACATAGGATTAATCTCCAAAATATACAAACAGCTCATGCAGCTTTATGTCAAAATAAAAACAACTCAATGAAAAAATGGGCAGATGATCACAATAGATGTTTCTTCAAAAACATAAAGATGGCTGAAAAGCACATGAAAAGATGCTCAACATCACTAATTACCAGAGAAATGCAAATCAAAACTACAAAGAGGTATCACCTCACACCACTGAGAATGGCCATCATCCAAAAGTAACAAACAATAAATACTGGAAAGAGTGTGGAGAAAAGGAAAGCCTCCCACACTGTTGATGTTGGTATATCACAACAGAGAACAGTATGGAGGTTCTTTAAAAAACTGACATAGGGCTACCATATGATCCAGCAATCCCACTCCTAGGCACATATCAGGAGAAAACCGTAATCCAAGAAGATACGTACACCCTAGTGTTCACTGTGGCACTATTCACAATAGCCAAGATATGAAAACGACCTAAATGTCTATTGACAAAGGAAAGGATAAAGAAGATGTGGCCTATATACCGTGGAATATTACTCAGCCATAAAAAAACCAATGAAATAATGCCATTTGCAGCAACATGGATGGATCTAGAGATTATCACACTAAGTGAATTACGTCAGAGAAAGACAAATACCATATGGGTATCATTTACATGTGGGATCAAAAAGAAATGATACAAATGAACTTATTTACAAAACAGAAACAGCCTTACAGATATCAAAATCAAACTTATGGTCACCAAAGGTGAAATGAGAGGCAGGGATGAATCAGAAGGATGAAGTGAACACACACACACTACTGCATATAAGACAGATAACCAGCAAGGAACACTATATAGCACAGTGAACTCTATTCGGGATTCTGTGATACCCTATAAAGACAAGAATACAAAAGAATGAATATATGTATATGTAGAACTGAATCACTCTGCTGTACACTTGAAACTAACACAGTATTGTAAACCAACTATACGCCAATAAAATTAAAATTAAAAAAGAAGAAACATAGTAAGGACACCGTAAAGAAATATTTACATTCTTTAAGAGAAAGTTCTGTGATAAAAATAATTCAGGCTTTGGTATGGACAGACTTGGATTTGAATCCAAGCTCTGCTCCTTAGTAGTTATGTAACTATGAGAGATCTTATTGTGACTCGGGTGTGCACAGAACTTTGAAGTCATTTTTTTCCCACTTAGCATGGCCTGAGGTGGTATGGTACCTACTGCCTATGAGGAGATGGGCAGTCTATTTTTTAAAATGGCTCTATTTTAAAATGAATTAAAAAATAAAGTTTAAAATACCAAAATATTTTTAAAATAACAAGGCACTTCTGTCATCTTGTCTCCTTGATATTGCCCCAAAACAAGAAAAAAAAAAACAACAACAACAGACGGGAATTCCCTGGTCATCCAGTGAGTGGTTAGGACTCTGCTCTCACTGTCAAAGGCCTGGGTTCAATCCCTGGTCAAGGAAATAAGATTCTACAAGCTATGTGTTGTGACAAAAAAAAAAAAAAAAAACCAAATCCTTTGACAAGATAAGGTACCAATGTAACCCTAAGGCACAATAAATAAGGATGGCCTGCCAAATACAGTAAGAATCACACCAGAGTACAGAAGGATGCTGAGATTAAATACCTGCTGTGACCTCTCTTCTCAAAGCTGGGAGAGCACTGACTACATGGTATACCTGAGGGCCAGACCCATCTCTCCGGTTTGCAATGAGAGTTTTATGTGGCATCATGAAGTAGCAGGGCAAAGCAGTGTGTGTGTGTGCTCAGTCGTGCCCTGCTCTCTGCAACCCTGCAGCCCTCCAGGCTCCTCTGTCCATGGGATCCTCCAGGCAAGAAGACTGGAGCGGGTTGCCATTTCCTTCTCCAGGGGATCTTCCTGACCCAGGGATCAAACCCACGTCTCCTGCATTGGAGGCAGATTCTTTACCTCTGAGCCACCAGGGCAAGGCAGCACTGATTAATAAAATCCTTAAAAATCTCATCTATGTTGGAGGCAGTCTGTAAATAAAATAAGGGTTGGGAGAGACTATATTATGAGCATCTCTGTAGTTGCTGAGGAGACAGATAGGCTAAAGCAATATGTGTGTCTCCGTCTCTCTGTCTCACCTTTTCTTTTTCTCTTAATACACACACACACATACACAAATTCTGGGCCACGGGAGTTTCACCACTTGCTCATTTCACTGCCCCGGTTGCTTCCTGCAAATAGCTGGTTGAAGAACTCCTTTAACTCAGTAATGAGTAATACTCAAAACAAGCTGGAGATCTATACAGCAAATCTATAAGGAAAAGTCAGAAAGGAATAGGAAGAGGACATCTCAAACAAAAATTTTTTCCAGAAAAATACTGCCATGAAGCACAGCAAACATATTGCTATGAATTCAAAAGACTTAATGAAATAGTTTAAGACCTCAAAGCAGGAGACATGATGATGAGACAAAAGAACTGAATTTAAATGAAGTAAACAGAACTCAGAAAGGAAGAAAAAGAAAAAAAATACAGAAATTAAAGACATAGTATGAATGGGTAAAAGGGGGATGAAGACAAAAATAACAACACATGAAGACTTATGAGGGCTAGGTTGAGAAAAGTGAGCAAAATAAGACAGAAATTTGAAAAGAACTAAAAAGAATTTGAGATAAAATTATAGATATAGAAAACAAAGGATATCCAGCATATCCACATATGGAAGAACAGAATACACGGAAAAGAAAAAAATAATCAGGGTAGAATTCAACAGAACTTCATATAAGTGAAAGAAGTCTTTAATGTACAGATTGAAAGGACTCACAGTGTCCCAAGGAAACGGACACAGAATGACCCCTGTGACATATCCCACTGAATTTTACTGGACTTTGAGCAAACAGGCAAAAGATCAAGAATTTTTAAGGGAAAATAAATCAGATTGGACTCAGATTTCTCAACAGCCATCTTCAAAGGTAGTGCACTGCCAGCAAAGTTTGAGAAAGAAGTGTGATCTTCTGGTGTCCTAATTTTCTCTTCTGTAAAAGGAGATGTAAATACTGCTTGACTTATAGCACTATTAAGAGCTATAATCATTTAATGAGGATGGATCACCTGTGATTTTAATAAGTGCTCAATAATAGCTCTTCTTATTTTCCATAGCCAAACTTTCTTTCAAGTAAAAGGCATCAAATATTTTTGAATATGTTAAGGATCAGAAGATATAATTCCCATTAGCATCACTTGAAGAACTATTAGAGAATGAACTTGAGGCAACCAAGAGATGAACACAGAAACTGTGCATGGAAGCCAGTTGAAATGTAGGACTGGGATGAAAACCACCCTGAGAATCTATTTCATAATAACTGTTAATACAGTATTGCATAGTTACTAGATGCTTACCATGTACCAGGCACTGTTCCAGGGCTACACTTTTATTATGACAACAGCCTTGTGAGGTAGAACCTATTGTTATAACCATTATAAAAATAAGGAAACAGAAACAGCTATCAAGTAACTTGCTCAAGCTACAAAATGATAAAGCCAAGATTTCAACCTAAGCAGTCTGGTTCACAGCTCATTCTCTTAATCACTACTGTATATTGGGGTTCAGAATGTTAATATTATAAACTATACCAGTAAATGTAATACAATTAACAATACCAAGAAGGGGAGATGTAAGAAGTTGAGAGGTGGCAAAAGGATGTTGATTTCCTTATCTTTACAATCCAAGGTCAAAAGATATTATGTATTTATTGTAAATAAAATAATAGAGACAGTACATTCAAAAGTATAGAGATGATAATTTGAAGAATAACAATAATGTATTCATTAAAATGAGGTAAAGGAGATGGAATGAATAGAAGTATAATAATTTTGTCACTGCTTGTAGTGGGGAATAAATAGATGTGGCCTAAAGCAATAGAGAATAAAATATATTTTTAAAAGTTATAGTATAAGGCTAACCACTAGGACAGCTAAAATCAGAATACAAACCTTCCTAAATTATCAAAAGGAACAAAAGCATAAAACAAATATATACCCTCTAGAGAAAGATACAAACCAGCTCAATCCTTAAAAACAAAAAGTAGTCATAAAATGTGATACAGAAATAAGACATACCTGTAAATGTCAATGGGATAAGCTTGCCTATTGTAAGAAAAATATCTTCAGAAAACAGACAATATCAAAAAAGTTGAAAAATAAAAGATGGTACAGGTACACCAGCCAAACACAAAGAAAAAAATTAAGCTACAATCTTATACCAGATGAGGTTGAATCCCCCTCTTTAAGTGAGGGAGCATTAAATAAGGCAAAAAAGAAAGTGTTAGAATTTTTAGAATGTTAAAACATATAATTCGCAATGATGATATTACAATACTAATACTTTAATTGGAGTATAAAACTGATTTACAATGTTGTTGGTCTCTGCTGTACAGTGAAGTGAATCAGCTACATGTATACATATATCCTCTCCCTCACAGTCCTCTCCCTTCCCGAATTTCTATAAAATAAATCAAGTAACGTTAAAATTCATTACATGAAATCTATAAGAAATAGAAAAAGAAATAAAGAGAAAAGCATTAGAAATAGGAGACCCTATTTCACTTTTCTTAGCCCATGACAGATTAAAAAAAGTTTACAAAAAAAGACACAGAAGAACTCAATAATCTGGCTAATAAGGTACATCTAATTGCCCTGAGAACAGACTTTTCCAAATGGCCATGGAACATCTACAAAATTAGACCAAACACTCTACACATTCCACTAAATAGACATAGCAGAAAGCAGTATTCTCCAGTCACAATATGATAAAAAATTTGAAATTAACAAAAAAATCTACCTGGAAAATATGAAATATTCTTTTAATTCTCGAGTCAAAGAAAAAGCCTAAATTGAAATTTTAAGCATATGGGAATAATAAATAATAATACATT